TATTGCACTTACATTCTACTTGAGTTAGTCTAGGTTGGCATGTCAGTAGTTTAAAAACACTATTTTTATTTACATTTTTAAAATCAGCAATATAAAAACAGGAGCAGTGCAAACTGGCAGTATAAAAAAGAAACTACTTACCATGTGATGATGCTACAATTTTCTTTCTCTCCTCCACCGAGGCCAATCTCCTCCATAAAGATGGGTATCTTTTATACAGAGAGCCTCTGAACATACGCAAATAGTTTCCAACCTGGAGAACAGAAAGTGGATCTTTAAGTAATCCTAAATTATTTTGTGGCCACTAGATGCAAACCTATTAGAACGAGCATCACTGGTGTGGTGTATTAGCAAAACCCTGAAAAGGTTTTGCAGAGATCTGCTGTGTTCAGCAAACAAATCACAGAAAAGGAGCCATGACTGTTCTGGCTTTCCATCAGTGCCATTTAAAACAGCAGAGGCCAGGAGACATTTGTTTACATTTATTCGAAACCAACATTAGTGGTTTAGCTGAATTCATTTATTTTGTTCAAACTTAGAAGCCGTTGTGAATGTAACGTTCAAAATATATGCAAAAATATACATTGATAAAAATCGAAAGGGTTCCACACTTTCAACTAAGTTACAGCAACGTTACTTTTACACGTTAACACCAAGTTACTTCGTGCAGCCGGTGCAGGTAGTGCACAGCAGCCGACACCGTTACACTAACTGCTCTGTCTTTAAACTGGAACACCACCACGTCAAATGATGTCCGACTTGTCAATTGTTGGCTCGACTCTACAAGGTTATATCCAGTTTTCGTCTGAGACATTTCTTTGTTCATGCAGTCATCATTTGGACCGGTTAGCATGCTAGCATTAACTGGCTAGAAGAAAGGGTAACTTGGGATGACAGTATGCAGCTATGCATTGGAAATCGCTGAATAGTAAATCACATACCTCCGATCCAACCATGTAAAAGTCCCCATCTTGTTCTAACTGAAATTTAACTGGCTTCTGGCCAAAGGTTTTGCTTAGAGCTAATTGCATGTTTTTCCACAGCGCTAACAAGCTAACCAACTCATAAGCAGCCTTCTCTTCAGATGTGTTCGGGGGCTACGACAGAGACCGGGAATCAGTGCACTTTTTGAACCCAACGTTCATTTCAGCTTTCAAAGCTTAAATAACCAACGAGGACCATGTCCGCCCAACAAGTGCAGAACGACATGACAAGTAATCAAAACTAACTGAAAACTACATGACCCACTGTACACGCCTCGCTTTTCAAAACATATTAAATTAACACATCCAAAACGTGCTTTTCTCACGTTTTGTGAGAAGTTTCTTCCGAAAACCCCGAACGCTGCATTGGCCTTACTCTTCGTTCCTTTCAAGGTAGAGGAACAATTTCCAAAGTGCATTACTGCCCTCAACTGTTTACAGTGAGATCAGATTTATCTGTCAAGTTCCTCTGGTTTTTCCATGTCATTAAAGATTACTCACTCTCTTGTAAAACCATTGTGCTGTGTTACAGTAAAAGACATAACGTTTAATTGGGCCTAAACAAAAGAGGTGAAGCATACAAAATGGATGGATGAATGTAAAAGTGATAGTGAAGTAAATTTAAGATGTTCTTTATGACTTGCTCTGTGTGGCATCCCTCTGGCTACTGTACAAGTCTCTCAATGGTTTGGGCCCAAAATATTGCAGGGAAATGTTTGCTGAGCACAATTACATATCAGAATATCTTAAGATAAATAAACAGCCAGTGTTTAGAAAAGTCATTTCATTTTATTTGAACCTAAGTTAGAGTACAAATCTATAAACATCTATACAGATAATGTGCAAAGAAAATCAATTTAATTCTTGGACTAATTTTACACAAGTTCAATTGGAAAGTGCGTTAAAATTATTAAATCCATAATAGCAAAAAACGGGGATTATTGGCAAAGCAATACACAAGGTTAATTTCAGCACTACATTACATTTATATTACCCCATCATTTGCCCATATATAAGTTAGAGCGATATAGCTTTGGCAAGTACCCAAAACTACAGAAAATGCTTGTTTTCATTTTATTTTGCGTAGAATATAGGGACCACACAGAATCCCCATTAGCAAAATCTGAAATTCTCACTGTTTATCAGATTAAACTTCAGGTCATTCAGTTTCTTTTTCATTACTTCAATAACACTCTCTTTTGTCTTTAATGATTCGGTATACACTCACTGGCCACTTTATGAGGTACTCCTGTACAATAATATGCAGTTCAGAGTAGCCACTATATTTTTGTCCTACTCAGTTACATATGTCAGAGGGTCACCTGAATATAATCTAGTCCAGTACAACCACCTTTAACCATGACCTCAATAATAAACATGTAATAGAATGTATACATTTATGACAATGTCATCAAAAACAGACACATTTTGAGCTTCATAAACATAAATGTTAGGGTGGAGGTGTTGCATACAATTATCTAGGTGTACGTAATAAACTGGCCAGTGAGTGTATTTGCACTGTTCACATCTATGAAAACAAGAACAGTCATCACCTTTGACTCACATTTTCAAGAACTTCAAATGCCCACTTAAGATTTTCCAATAAGGGTCCATAAATTCAATTTTTAAAACCTATCCCCAAATGGCTAAAAAAATATGAAACATAACAAGATAATTTTGAACTTTTAGTACCTTTCTCCTTCTGTTATGGTTTGCACAGATGAATACATGCATTTTGGTTCTAGATATTCTGCTTCTGAAATGTTGTGATGGTTAAATTTGCTCTTCTAGGGAAGTCACACAATAAGCATTTTGCACTTTGACATCTCTGTGGTTGCAATATTACCTTGTGGATTAATTAACTTTATTGATGTTTTGTATCTTCTTTTGCTGTTGTACAAAAATTGGAGGTGAAGGAAAGGCTGGACTGTGAAGTTCAGGAAACTACAAATTGCAATAATGTATGATAAAATCATTTGCTAAAGAGAATTAAGTATAAAACCTAGATCGTATTTGTCTGAATAGATTAACACAGTTTGTTGAGACGTCTTTGGTTTCATGCAATACCACTAAATTCAAGAGATGAAAACAGAGCATCATTTGCCACACATATTTATTCTTTAAAAAAGTGAATAAAAAAATGCACTCACCATCTGAACAAACTGATTTTGATAATATTTTACCGTTGTCGTTTTTTGGATCTTTCATATGACAGTTGTTGTACAGTAATATTTCTTTCTGAGATGAAGACAAACATCACCTGAGCCCAAAGGTTCACTGTCTAAAGTTCCTTCTGAAGCTTTTGCTCAGTCAAATAGTCTTAGAGGAAGAATCTGGCATCAAGAAGAGTTTCTGAGGATGATTTAAGCCCATACACAAAGACAACAACCAGTTATCTCCAAAGCAGTTCTGGTTGTTTGTCATTCTTCAGCCAAATCTAAACATGTCAAAAACAAAGACCATGTTCGTTCCCTTCATTTCTCTGAGGGAATGTCCTCGAAAGTGACCAGACAATAAGGGATGCTATGGGGGCACAGTTAACCTCCAAGGCGCTGGCCCTCGCCCCAGGCAAACCCTCCTGGGCGCTCCTCAGGTAGGGGGTTGTAGTTGGCATCTTCCTCTGGAGTGTCAAACAGCATCTTTCTGTGGCAGAAGAGGAGGAGGAGTGATCATACACAAGAAGTGGCAGCTCTCGGTCAAGCTGTTCATAGCTGATGTATATGTACATTATATACATGCATAGTATATCACTACTAGAGTCACTATAAAAATAAAATGTGAACTTTGACTTTAGTTACAACTTTGAATTCTTTCATTCATTCCTGCACTGTCAAATTTAGGGTGTGAAGACAAACATCACCTGAGCCCACAAGTTCATCTCTTGAAATGTAGTGGTACTGTATGAAACCATGAAACTCACATGATAGATGGAGTCTTGAGCCACCTTCCACCACCTGGCTGGTTGGGGAAAACATCCTCCAGAAAGAAGTACACATGGCCAACCGCAATACCTTAAGAAAAAACATTTTAACACAAGCACCATTCATAAGGTACACTGTCAAACACACTAGTATAATCACTGCAGTGATGAATAAAACCTGCAGATGATGGTGATAGGTACCTAAAAGGTCAACGATGATGGAGTTTCCCAGCAGAAGCGAGAATCCCATCAGCACCCATGGCAGGAAGGGTGCCTGAAAATTCAGCAGGCCAAAGAAATTCATACGAACGTTTGGGTTTCGTCGACTCCACACATACACAAGCATGATAGTGAAAGCTTGCCCCAGGAACACCAGACTCACAAAAGTGCCAAATATCTGAGAACTCGTTAAAGAACACGGCAAAGAAATGTACCGAACCAACACTTCTCACCAGGGGCAAACTGGCTATTGTGAGGACTGAAACATGCTGGTGCCAAACCTAGAGACCGATATTTTCCACCAGCTATGTGTTATGCTTTAATCCAAATCCAAATAAAACACTATTAGTAGCAGGGCAGACATAAAAAAATGGGTGATGGTTTTCCTGTTCTACTGTCATATTCTGATTCTTAGTAGTACATCACTGCTGCACATGCACTGTAAACAGTATGTCACCGAAGTGACTGCCCAGTTATAATGGCTCATTTTCTGGAAAGAGATGTTGCTGTTAATTTTATTTTTAATGCTCTACTACAAACTGAAGGCACGTCCCCTCCGTTGTGTTGATAAAATTGCCAAAAAATAATACAACCTGACTCCAACTATCAAAATGGCCAGAAACCACCAAGGAGAAGCATAAACATTTTCCTTTTATTTATTTATTTTGTGGTAATTTAGGAGAGTACTAAGTACTATACCACCTTGGTAGTCTGTAAAGGAAAAGCAATCAAAAGGTACAGCATGTATGATTTTACATGGCAACACATGACTTGTGGAAGTCTGATGCCAAAGCTGTGTGGGGGGGGAAGACCTCCTGTGCAAGTGAAAATGCTTGTTAATGACACATTCAGATGAAGGATACAGTCATCAGAAGCCCACCGAAGAGGAACATGAAGACAAAGTCAGCTGTGCGTCCCCTGAAAGAGCCCTCCTCTAACATACGACAGTATCTGTACCTGAAAGCAAAGCATTAAGGAAATCTACACACAAATGTTGTAAGATATGCAAGTTTTCCACCTCCTAAGCAGTGCCACCTCATACCCATTTGTGACATTGATTTGTGTATTTAGACACCAGTTCAGTGTAAAGTTTCATCATCCCATTTCTGAAACCACATTAGGCTTCAGCTGTCAAGCAGAAAGTATGCAAAGTCACTTCACATTCTAAATAAAGTCAGGCTTAGAAGTGAAAAGGATACAGAAAAATCATATTGAACAGGAAATTGAAGCCAACCGGACCAAAAAACAGGAAGTTGGTTATTAGCCGCCATACCTGCAAAAAGCACAGGGGGAGAGAGAAATTGGTTGTACATAATATACACAGATAAAACTGAATAAATCCTTGATGTTTAACAAGTTGAATTTTAGGCTTTGTTTATTATCTGCTCAATGCCCTGCAGTTACTTGGCATACTGAAACAGGCCAGGCCACATGACATGACTGGAACCTCAAAAGACAAAGAGCTGGTTATAGTTGAGTCTTATCATGATACAACTACATAAAGCTAGGCAAACCACACCATGATGTCTCTTATTATTTTGACAAGAACTGACTGATTCACATAATTTGAATGTAGCATCATATAAAACTGATTTTACTTGACACAAAGTCTTGGTTAACTAAGCCAGGCAGCTGAGATTACTACTGCTGTGAGGTCTATGAATCAGCAGTATGCCCCGACTCCACCTCCTGTGGAAAACAATGAAAATGGACAGCGGATCAGAATACTCACTTGGTAGTTCCTTAGAATCAAATCTGGATTAAAGTATAGCTGAAACGGTGTGATGATCTCTAGTTGCTGTGAGAGAAGACAACACAAAGATAATGTTAAAGATGGTAACAGTAACGATAAAGATGTTTTGATAACATTTACAAAATGACTGAGGCACATTTATGGTGTGAAACAATGCTTCTGATTTACACCAGACCCCACAACAAACACAATATGGGGTTTAGATGACCAAATAGATGATCCATATGCAACCCAGGTTGAATATTCTTGTCAAGCTACTCTGGGTATAAAGTAAGGGAATACCGTGTAGTAAAAATATCTGTATGTGGATTCATATAGGAAGTGGGCAGGGTATGTACAGGTAGCTCTCAGAAATTGTCTAGTCAGTTTTATTTTCTATATTAAATAGTTTTTTGTATATACTCCTGGTACATGCTGCACATCTGTAAGTGTAGCTGACAACAACAACATTACATATTAACTCAGTTTTTTATTATTAATAATAATAATAATAAATAACTTTATTTGGCCAAGTACGTTACACACACAAGGAGTTTGTCTACGGTACAGAACCGAGGCAGCCATCTGTGGCACTAACTCACACACATGCACAGATGGCGGTGTTTGGGGTTCAGTGTCTTGCCCAAGGACACTTTGACACGTGGACTGGAGGCACCGCGAATCGAGCCTCCAACCTTACGGCTGGGAGACGGCCGCTCTACACAGTGTGCACAGTTCCTACAAGTGCACCTCAAAGTGCACTAACATCTGCATTATCATGCTGCCCCCAAAAGGAACATAAAATATATAAGCAAATAAATAAAATTACTATGAAACCACTGAGGCTACACATACAGTAAGTGAGCCTAATAATAAAATGTTCCAATTTGTTTACTGTGTCTGATGCTGTAACTTTCTCTGGAAAACTGTTCCAAAGGCCTCTGACACAAAGTAGCATCACTGTACAGTATGTCTTATTTCTGGTCTGGACAAGAACCAGGAGGCCAAAGTTTGAGTATCTGTGCTACAGGGGGTGTATCTAACCAGCAAATCAGAAATGTATTCTGGTGCTAATCCGTTAAGTGATTTCAAAATTAGAGAGGAAAATTTTTGAATTAATTCTAAAATGAACAGGAAAAAGGCCTTTAAAACAGGGGTGATGTGTTCCTGCATTTAGTTTTAGTGTGAAGATGTACAGATGCATTTTGTACCATCTGTAGTTAACTAAACAGTTTCTTTGGGAGTCCTTAGAGTAGAGCACTGCAGTAATCGAGCCTCCTACAAAGAAAGGCATGAATACTATAACTCTGTGCCTTCCTCAGAAAAAGAATGGTTGGACATGGGCAATATTTTTAAGAAGGTAAAATTCATTTCTAGTTATATTTCTAGTCTGAGATTTAAAGAACAGATCACAATCAAAATTTACACTGAGATGCTTTACTTTTGTCTTTAAGTTTCAAAAACCATGTAACAGTCCTGGTGAAAATAAATACTGAGAACAGAAAAGGAGGTTAATGGAAGTTTAATGAAGTCAGAATTACACTAGATGATGCTGCATGGCTTTCATTCAAGACTGAAGGTTCTGCATGGAATGAAAGATTAATGTTAAGTTGCTCTGAAGTGTTTATGAGAGAAAGCTCATTTCTGCAGAGGGAGGAGCTCCCATTGAATATTAAAGTTAGCAGGACAGTCTCTCTGACAGTTTCAAGGACAAGTGACGTTAACAAAACTTGAAAAGCCCGTCTTGGCCCATTACAATGCACTTTAGAGACGGTCCCTAACTTCAGCTCTTCAGTTTCATCTTTTATCAAGTAGCACAAAGTGTCAGGCTTCAGTACGGGGCCACGAGGAAAATAACTCCTTTCAAGATTAAAAATAATAAAAGAGCATTGTCTCTCTTTGCTACATGCTGCACTCCCCTTGTCATTTTACATTAACATATGTCCACAAGTAATCAAATGACTGAACTTTGTAAAAACAAACTAACACAAAACAGTGACAAGGCTGCCTGCAGATGTGCTCAGGTATTTTATTAACGGGACTCATCAGCACAGACATCAGCTGATGCCAGTTATCTAAAAATGCCAAATATCGGTCCAATTAACTGGCCAACCAACCAACCATCAACCGCTCTGACTTCCTTTGTCAATTGCCTTTTTCCAAACAATGCTGCAGAGGGTGTAACAACACATTATTTTCCAACACTAACTTTGCTGTTTTAAGAAATCAACAAAAGTTGGAACACCTCTAAGAATTGTTTGCATCAGTTTTTAAAGCTTAATTTCCTTCTACTGCTGCAGAAAACATGGAAGGTCACCTTCTGAGCCCTGAAAACAGTCTGTTTCATATTATATTTACATAGCTACATTTTTTTATTTTTTGTGACAGGTGTAGAGGTTTTTTTTCGTGTGTGGCATAAATGAAACTGCGATGCAAAAATGAACCTCTGAACATAATGGAGACTAATTCTCATGTGGTTTAGGCAGCTGTTCTTCAAGCTACTTGCTAGGGCCACGTTTAATGTTATAGTTTTGCATCAGAAATGGAGGGTGGCCCAACTAATACATTATTCTGAGCAAACTGTGAAAAAAGTTTAGAACAAAACCCTTTACACTGATACCTCTCATGCCTTTTGTGCTATTAAGATTTCAACTAACTTATAATAATTTAGCATTTTACTACAGACAAAACAAACTGATAAAAAAAACTCCTTGAATTAATTCTCTATCCTAACCCTAACACAACTAACACCCCTTCTTAATTATATAGACTATTTATTTACTTTAGAACACACTTCCTACATGCACAATACCAATAATATGACTGAAACACCACCAACATTCTCTGCGTCTTCACAACAGTTCCAGTGTGAGCCTACAGAAACGGAACCCAGTGCAACAACCCTAACAGGCACCGCGCACAGGCGGCGAGCTGACGAGGGTCAAAAACATGAACTACTGCAGTGCCCACCCTTTTCGGTAGCCCCGCAGTGAATTCGCACCGGCCCCGGTGTTTGCTACGAGAACCATGTGACGCGCGTCACATGACGCGCCACGACACGACGCCGACTGTGTGCGGTGCCGTTAACAGTCTACTTCTGACCCCGAATGACTCCAAAAGGTTCAAGCCCTATAATTACCAATGAAGCACATTTCTATAAAATATTAAGTCATTCCTTTGCTTGGTCTTTCTGATGTTCTACGGCCAAAATACAGGACAGTTGTATAAGGGCCATGTCCAGAACTTTTCCTTGTATTACTTTGCCTACATATTGCTGATAATATTAGCATAACAAAACAGGTGTACTTATATAGGCTACATATAGATAATGATTATAGCGTTATACAAGACAGGCTCAGACAGAAACCGGTTTAATTTGGGGATCCACTACAGAACAGTTTAACAGCTGTTACTTCGCAGCATTCAAAACAACAAGCACAACAGCTGTCAACTGCGAGCCTTGCGAGAACTGCCATGCTACGGAAACGCAAATTATCGTGCGCGTACAAGTTAAGGGTCACTGGTTTAATTATGCCACGGCTCTGACCACAAGTAATTTCGCTTTAAGCCATCTATGAGTTGAATAGAATAGTTACGTTGACATCCAGGATAACATGGTTCAGACACGTAGTAAACCTTCTCAATGGGTGCTAGCTAAACCATCGAGCTAGCAACAAAGTAACGGCGCTATACGAAAACTATGTTAAACGGCACCAAGCTGTGCCCTGACCAGCACGGGAGCATATGAATTAGTCTTACCACTGCAGCAGTCGTGAGAACACACGCGGTTGTATATGCCCTGGTTACAACAGGGATCTGTAAGTACTCCTGTTGAAGTGTCTGGTAAGCCATTTTGGACAAACTGAAAGCTTCCGGCACTTTCTTGACACGTCATTCCACAAAACGAAAGGTGTTGCGTTCAATCACGTGGGACAAAATTACAAAGCATGTAGAAGAAACATCAACCAGTCCTTTCTAGATTCACATACATGTTTTTAACCATGTGACACACGATGTCTGAGGCACTGACATTATTCAAGCCGCCCACGGTGGAGATGATGGCATGATGTGGTTTTGCAGCTCCTGCATTTCAGGGAGACATAGCCCACCTGAGAAAGATGTCAGCCATTCTGAAAAGTGGAATAAAAAAAATTATATGCAAAACCTTTGTATTTTTAAATTACCATACAATATAATTCTGACTTTATTCTCAGAATTCTGACTTTATTCTGAGAATTTTGACTTTATTCTGAGAATTCTGACTTTAATCTCAGAATTCTGACTTTAATCTCTGAATTTTGACTTTATTCTGAGAATTCTGACTTTAAACTCAGAATTCTGACTTTAATCTCAGAATTCTGACTTTATTCTCATAATTCTGAGTTTAAAGTCAGAATTCTCAGAATAAAGTCAAAATTCAGAGATTAAAGTCAGAATTCTCAGAATAAAGTCAAAATTCTGAGTTTAAAGTCAGAATTCTGAGAATAAAGCCAGAATTTTACACAAAATTATGCAGTGGCCCTAATTTAAAAAAAATTATGCAGTGGCCCTAATACTCTTTCGTACTACTCTATACTGTTGCTACAACAGTACATAAGTCTGCAAATGAAAACACTTCTGTATTTGACTTTGAATGTTTTACATGACCAATGAGATGTCATGTAAATATAATTTTTTTGTTTAGGTTGAATAGAGTTGATCTTTAGGAAAATACCCAGTAGCCTATCACTTTCTAACTAACTACCCTTCATAAAAGGTGTGTAAGTCTTTATTAGTGATGATTAATACATCATTTACCAATGAGTTTAAAAAAATCACCAGCAATCGCCGCACAGTGAATGCTGGTTGGTTTTCTGTATAACTTGCTTCACATTCTCATGAGATTGAGGCAGCTGTAAATTTTGTAGCAATGTTGCTGTCCACCAACTGTGGGATCTTAGGTAGTGATCTAGCGGCTTCTCATTTCTCTTATGTGGCATTCAGTCATTCCTCGCTCCTCTATAGAAATGTGAGGAAAAACTGCAGGAGAAGATGCATGGAAAGAGGAACTGAGGAAACATTATTAATGGCATCTGGCATCCTGTCCTTCAGTCCTTAAGACAAACTTAGAAATCATGCATGAACACTCAAGGACTGAAGCAATAAAAAAAAACCCAGACAACTAAATGATTGCTGATCCAGCCTGCCAGATAAAAATTTCCTATATGCTTGTTTACCAGCTATCTCTGCCATACCTGCTGCTGATTACCTGGATCAGGTGTGTTCAGTCAATCAGAAGCTGGAAGACACCATCTTAGAAGAAGATGGAGTGAGGAAAGACAAAGTGAATTGGTATCTTCCACCTTCTGATTGACTGACTTAGAATACCTCCCAGGTCTCTGTAAGCACCGTCACCAACTACTGATAAAGGGTTGTGTTGGTTCATGAAACAACTTCTGTGAAGGATGGTCTTGTGTATCCTTGCTCATGACTCCTCCAGCGGTCTCCTCTCTTCTTGATCCTCAGAGGAGACTTGGAACATCCTCAATCCTCGGTCGACCTGAACAACTTCAGGGTCAACTGAGAATCAAGAAAGTAGCAACAGTCATATAAGAGACTTATAATGTACCCATGGACTGAATCAGTACTTAATGCCCTGTGGCTTATGTCTGAACAAACAAGCAGTCATGATGAAATAGTGTTTAATAATAATAAGCAGAGTGTTAAAACATCATGAAAACAACTGCATAATTAAGAGCTGAAGTTTAAAAATGTGTTTGGTTATTTTAGATATTTGAGGTCATATTATAAAATTGTTTGCTTTTATTTGAACATTAGTTGTTTATATCTTATTAATTTATTTAACTTTGAACACTTTGGATTTCCGTAGTCAGCCGCTCTCAGATGTGATCTATAGGAGGCATGGTGCATTTCAAAAGAGCCCAATATTCTGAAACATTTGAATCATTCCATGTTGGCGCCATCTGCTGGTCAATGGAAAAGGCTTATTCCCTTAAAGGGATAGGCTACCATAGAGCTTTGATATATGGTGAGAAAAAGGTTATGTAGGCTATGTGTATGTAATGTAGCCTAGTACTACTGGCCAGTACTTATGTGACTGAGTCTAAATGGAGGACAGGAGCATCCAACCAGTCATGGGAAATGATAGGCCAGAAAAAAGAGAACAGTGAGGCTAAGACAGAGACAATTAAGAAAGAGAAAGAGAAAGAGAAAGAGAGAGAGAGAGAGAGAGAGAGAGAGAGCCCTGTAGCCTGTCACTTCTAGAGGTTACATAACATGTAACATTGTTCCTGTCAGTGACAACCAGTTTTAGCAAAGGACAGGCTGATGTCATTCCTGGACTGTGTACTATTTTTGAACATGCACAACTGTGGAAACTTCCAGCTCTAATATCATAGAAGAATGCATTTTGGGTGATTTGATGAAAATATCACAATAACACAGTTTGTATATGCACAATGGTTTGAAGATAAAGGCAACACAATCTATGTAGTTTTAATGTAATTTAGTCCACTTCTAACAATTTAAGATTAAAAATGACAAGCACTGCATGTTTGGTTCTATGAAATAAAGCACAAACATTTAAAGAAGTGTATAATTAGGCTACTGACCCTAAGGATGGCAAGGGGTGTGTGTGTGTGTGTGTGTGTGTGTGTGTGTGTGTGTGTGTGTGTGTGTGTGTGTGCACCAAAGCAGACTGAATAAGAGTCACAGATATCTTTATCTTCACGTTTTCATTTTACTTGTAATTACCTTTTCATGGATCATATCATTTTGATTTTTTAAATCAAAATTGTTCCAGTAATATTACATTATGACAGCTTACAAAGCACATCCTTTTGACACAGGAGGAACAAATTTGCTTTAGGCATCTGGAAAATGTGTGTGTTTAGATTCTACTCATCTAGGTTGAATGACAGATTAATCTGGTTTGTAAAATTTAAATCGTTTCAGGTTTTTTTTTTTAAATACACTTGTCTGTCATATGCTTAATGACAGTTACATCCCGGTCAATACATTTTAGTAGCGTACCACTGAGAAAGTGTTAAAGTACAAGGCTACTCTTGGAGGCATCATAGACGCACCTGCGTCTAAAGGCCGCTGGCTTAGAGCCGCTCTCTGATTGGCCGATTGTTATTAGAGGCGGGGGTTGTCTTCGGAGACGACCGGATGATTAGGCAAAACACCTGGCTGTCAAAATGGGTTTGCTTACCTGTCACTTCCTGTGGTCGGTATTTATTCATTTCCATTTCGTTTTCAGATTAGAGATATTATGGCACGCCACTGCCGTGTTTATATGATTTCGTCTAATGTATCCCGCACGGTTTGTGGATCCTGCGGACCAAACATTACGACCGTGGCTCCATGTTCGCCTCAAGCGAGGATTAACACCCCTGGACGCTGACTGGCAAAACACAGCTTGGGTTTAATCAGTCACCGCTGCTGTACTCGTTTTAATGTAGACTCATACTGTCGTGTTTACTAATACAGCAGGATCAACAGCAGCAGCAGCAGCAGCAGCAGGAGGAGCGAAGGACTCTGGCCAGTGGAAAGGTAGGCACCCACAGAATCTTTAACTGTGCATGTGGAGACGAGGCTGTGCAGCGCTGGCACGCACGCAGCAGCAGGCCTGGCTGTGGGGACCTGCATGTGCAATAAACGCCGTGTCATAGCTGCTGTCGTGACAAGCCAGAATATGCAGACAGCTACACCGTGATTCATGGAGGTGGCTGCTGTGTTTACGTTTGTCGTCTGTCGTTCCGGCGGAGTCTTTCTGCAACGCTTTACGCGAATCTCAAGTGTTTAAAACATGTTTGGAATTGCGCAAGGCCGGCTCCAGCATTTCTTGGACCTCACCCAGAAGAACAACCCATCACCTTCCACCCCCTGCTGTTTTATATATATATATGGAAAAAGATAATGGGCAACTGCAAAATATTAATATAGTGTCTTGTATAAGTCATCCATAATTAAATTTGTGATATTTAGAATGTAGATTACTTAAGAGGAAAGACAAATCCTTTGTGGACTGCTGTATTGTTATAGTGATGGAATAATACTCAAAAATAAGAAATTTTGATGTTGCTCTGACACCAGGCTGAAGGACAGGCAAGATGGTCTAACAATTCTTCTCATTATGATTACTTTGCTGTTTTGTTTTAGAACGTTTAGTATGTAATATGAGAAATGTAAAAAAAAAAATCACAGTTTTTAAGTCCCCAAGGTTTTGTCTTTAACTAGCTTCTTTATGTTGTCTGTCCAAGAGTCAGAGTTTACAGTGATGTACAAGAGAGAGAGCAGCAGCAAATCCTCACAGAGGAAGGGAGTTTTGCAGTAGAGAAAGTGAAATTGTTGTCATGCTGTGTTGAAATTTGGGCCATTTTAGTGGGGTCATCTTTCATAGATGCACACTACAAACAGCTATATTTTAATAAAAAAAACAAAACAAAACTATCCCATACAGCTACATACAGTAGCAGATACTTCAGCTGTGTCCAAACGTCCACTTTATTTTTCAGTTTGAGCACAGACGGAACAGAAATTGATTCCTCTGCAGTGTTTGTGTCATCTGCCAACAAATGCTAGCCAGTGTTAGATCTAGAATTGAGAGGTGAGATCAGGGTGCAGTCATTTTTCAGTCTTATCTCATAGACGGGATCTCTGGGTCTGCTACAAGTTATCTGCAGTCAGCTAAGGTTATCCATTCTGAATTACCAACACACTTGATAAGTTGATTAAAAATGACAACATGACTGAAATGTATTTTTTGGCTAACAAACAAAATGTCAGACTAAATAAGTTGAAAATAATTCAGTAACATGGAGGCTAAACAGAATGCTCCACATTTGAAATGCCCCGATTAGGATCCCGCCTGGAGGGTCCCAACAACCTTGAAGCTGATAGTACACTGTGGCTGTTGTACTTTTAATGCCACAGTGTGAATGTGTCCGTTATTCTTCATTCCTCTGCTTATCTGAATCCAGAGGTGGCTGTGTCAGCTATTTTGCCTCCATGCTGATGTAGATGCATGACAATACACACAGGCCCTGTCCATAACCTGTCGCCCACATGAGCGTTTCATCACCAGTGACAGTCGCTGTGCTATATCTGCTTATATATCGCTGTTTTAAAAGATTGAAGAGCTAAATGAATAGGCACATTTTCTGTGTACCACTGCAAGCAGGAAGCAGCCATCACCATGGATACCGATGAGTGCATTATTCGTTGTGCTATAAATGCATAGCATCCATCACCCAAAAAATCCTCCTGCTATTATTTAGTCACACAGTGACCACATACTGTGAAATAGGCAGTTTTTACAAATTGGCTGCACCTCTTTGGACCAAAACTGCATACATAAGTTTATTTTCCTTTTAATTCTGACATCATGTTCCATGGTTTTATCTAATCCCTGAAGAAGTAACACAAAGAACAATTTTATGTTTCAACTTGTGGCAATCAACAGGGTCATCATAAAACACAAAGGACATTTATGTAAGATAGCTATGAAGGATATGCCAGTATTTTAGGATGATATCCTTGATGTTAAGTCTTATGAGTGGATCTAGTGAGGTAAATATATTCTAGCTTGGAGAGGGTTGCTGGACTACAGGCTTCTTGGCTTTTTGAATCCATTTAGTTTTCTGCACAATCTGTGTTGTATTCTCTTTCTCTAAGTTTAGATAGCAACTTTCCTTTTGACATATTCTTCTGGATATCACATTCTTTTCAATCTGCACTGCACTGGGTGACAGTTCGCAAGAGTCATAGCTCCAAACGAATGTCCATGTAGCATCACCTTCCTGTTCACGTTTGAAATCGATTTTCCCCACTCAGCAACACACCCTCTGAGAAAACAACTCTGGTAAACAGAGACTCCATAGTCAGAAACGTGAAGCTAGAGACACCAGGCGGCCATAGTCAAATGTTTTCTTGGGGCCAGAGCGGGCGACATTGAATCCTATTTGAAGCTGCTGACTAAGGATAAGCGTAAATACAGTAAGGTTGTTATTCACGTCGGCGCTAATGACTCCCGACTTCGCCAGTCGGAGGTCACTAAAATTAATGTTGAGTCGGTGTGTAACTTCGCTAAAACAATGTCGGACTCCGTAGTTTTCTCTGGACCCCTACCCAATGTGACCAGTGATGACATGTTTAGCCGCATGTCGTCATTCAACCGCTGGCTGTCTAGGTGGTGCCCAGAAAATAACGTGGGCTTCATAGACAACTGGAAAACATTTTGGGGAAAACCTGGTCTGATTAGCAGAGACGGCATCCATCCCACTTTGGGTGGTGCGGCTCTCTTATCTAGAAATCTGGACGAGTTTGTTTTACAACCTAAATTATGACAACCCAGAGTTGAGTCCAGGATGCAGGGTCACAGTCTTACACGCCTCTCTGCTGTCTCCTTGCAGCTGCTACCCACCCAACACTCCCAGTACCCCATAGAGACTGTGTCTGCCCCCCACCCACCTAAATTATATAAATCAAG